ACCCGGAGGTGTTGGAGCGACTGCAGCTCGCGCTGAGGCTCCGGGAAGCAACGTGGCCCCCCCCCCCGCCTCCCGTACCATAGTGAGAGCGATGAAGGAGAAGACAGCCATCCCCGTGAACAGGACGGTGGGGATCAGCATCACCACGGCCGACCCCACGTTGGTCCCGAAGAAGGAAATCGCTGCAATCCAGCCGCTGCAAGGAGATCAAAACCACCAGTTCGGTTTGTTTGGCAGCTCTGGGCTCTCCCGGCTGGCTCTGCACAGCCCAGCCTGCCAGCAACCCTCCCAGCTCCTCACACCGTCCTCCCCAGGCTACTGAAGCACCCAGGATGTTAAAACACCACGAGGCCACAGCAGCAGCTTGATGGTGACCGTCCTTGCACCTGACACGAGAGCGGCATCCTCCTTACCAGACGCCCCAGCCAGGGATTCCCACTGCCTGGATAATGCTGATCACCAGCTGGGCCATGAAGGTGAAGAAGAAGGCCATGAAGCTGAAGGAACTGTCTGTCCTGCAAGAGAAGGCTCGGTCACTCCCTACACCTCCATCCCCGCTGCACGGCAAGGGAAGGGAGATTCTCCCACGTCTCAGACCCTTCCCTTTCGGGACAGAAGCGGCTGTGGTTTTAGCAAGAGGGTGGTGAGAAGCGGAGCTGCCTGCAGACAGCAGGCACTGGAGCAAAACTGCAGGCAAGGGAAGGACTGTGAGAGGCTGAGGGTGGTGAAGGAGCACCTGGGAAAGCCACGGGGCATCAGACCCTCCCCACGGCCCGGCCAGCTCTGCGCATGGGCAAGAGGGCACCTGTGTTCAGACACAGCTCTTGGCTCACCCCAACCCACCCCACCATCAGACTCAACCTTCCCATGTGGGGAAAAAATACACTCCCAGTTTTCTACATCTGGGGATCGACCCCAGCAGCACGGATAATCCGTACAAGCACCTTGTGGAAAAATGTAAAAGAAGCCTCAAGGATGGGCAGGAGGGGAGGGAAGGTTGGCACCCCAACTGCACCCTCACCGCTCTCGCTGATGCCGCACCGAGGCACACGTAGGGTGTCTTTACAGCGCATGGTTGGGGTTTTGGCCCTCGGGAAATCCCAGACACCCTTGCTTTGAAGGTTAGAAAGTGAAGCTAAAGGGCTGTACAGAAAGAGTAGAAATTTCCCCAAATATTCAGGCAATGCCCCAAGGTAAGCGCTAACTGTTTAGGAAGGAAAATAACCAAAAAAAAAAAAAAAAGACCATGAGAAGCCGGGCTCAGGTGTGACCACTTACTTGAAAGCTTTGTAAATAGGTCTAAACCAGCAGACATAGGAGCAGGGCGTAAAGAGAATGAGCCAGAGAATTGCCAGTCCAAAATTAACAGCTCCACCGCCTCCGATCAGCCATGCGAGGCAGCCAACGAGATTCACCGCCAAGGTGATGCTGTTCACTGCAAACACACACACACACACACAGAGGGAGCGGAGTGGCGTGCACGCAAGGACAATGAGACCCCCACCCCAGGGATGCCCGTGCGGGGCTGACCTCCAGCGGGTTCGGCCAGCAGGGCGTTATCCTCGCTGGATTTCCCTCAACTTCACTGAAACTAACCTCAGCTGAGGAGCAGGAGGTGAAAAATTAAAATATATCGCTCAGAGTTGAGGTCTTAAGCAGGTCCAGAGCTTGCGGGGCTCTGAGGACAGGGAGGAACCGGTGAGCCAGGGCACGTTTCCACCAACGGAAGGAAACGGGAGGAATGGAAGTGCAGCTTTTTCGCTCCAGTTTTGCCAGAGTTCCACGAGCTGACACCCCCTGAGCTGAGAGCTGCAGTCCTGAACTCCCAGCCCCTGCCTCGTTCGGGGGGGTGGTGCGTTTGCTTCTGCCACCCCTGCTGGGGGCGAGGAGATACAAGGGCTAGTACTATGAAGCCCAGCTTAGCAGACACAGGACAAAGCGGAGAAGGCTCATCTGCATTCTGACGCCTCCGATTTTTGAGAATGATTCATTATTTCGACGAGAATTAAAACCCTCCCACAGCCGCCCGCAGGAGAGCTGCAGCTGGCAAGAAAGGGAGCTCAGTTGGCCGGGCTGACCGGGCGCTCACTGCTCCCGAGAGCCCCCAAGGACACCGAGGGGACCCGTCAGCCTCTCTGCACTTGCGTCTGGCTGGGTGTTTGCGGGGGAGTTGGGGAGAAAACGCTCCAGAGACAGAAACCACCAGACAGGGAGCTGGTGCTGTGGGAGAGGCTGGAGCAAGAACCGAGCTCTACTTAATTAAGCAGGGCAAGAACAGTCAGACTGAGATGGGGAGGGGGATTTAACACCCCCCCAAGACAGCTTCTCCACGGAAGCACAACTTTCTTTTCCTCCTCCTTCACATAAAATCTACACTAACCCTCCTGACACAATGGAGGAAGTTACTCCAGGGTCACCTTCCCAATGGGACGTGGTCCCCAAAAGCCGAAGCAGGGTACTGTCCCAGGGTGCCAGCCTGGTGCCGTGCCGACAGCAGAAGTGCCAACCTCTCCAGTGTCAGCTCAGCTCCTCCTAACCTGCCTCCAAAGCACAGAGCACTCCCTGGGTGCTGATACGCTTCCAAAACTCAGGGAAAACACCTGATTAAGGAACTAAGTTCTTTTAAAAAGAAATAAAATAATGGTGCCAGCTTGCCCTGAGCTGCACACATACGTTTCCGCGTATGCCAGGGTGTAATCCGTCCCTCCAGCTTTTCTCCCTGCCTGGGGTTGGTGTGGAAAAGAGATCTGGGCTACTTTTAAGAGTTAGAAGACAGTGACAGCTCTGTTAGCACAGCACGGCACACGGAGGCATGCAAGAAGAACAGGCAAGACCCGGCTTTGGGGGAAGCCCAAGGCTCCCCTGCTTCG